AAGGGGCGCTGATACTGTTCAAAACCTACATATTTGAGAGAAAAAAAGAACGCGTTACTATTGGCAAAGAACAGCGCCATGTTCTAGCCCAGAAACGCCCGGTTCAGGCCCTCAAATCTACATTATCCAATACTCATTTGATGCTGGAGGAAAGTCTTGACAGTGCCCTAAAATCGATTTTGGTTCTGCCAGAGATTCTACCGCGCGTCTCTCATGGTCAACAATCCACACCGCTTCCAAAGAATCTTCGATCTCTTTGCTGTTTAAAACAACGGAGACCCAAGCACCACAGTTGTCACACCTGCTGGAAGTGACTCCAAAATCTTTCTGGAGAGTGTGAAACGGTTACAAAAAGATTGGCTTCAAGACGATATTATAAATTATTTTTTTGCAAAGCTGCAGGACAGATCCAGGCAGAGATACGATGCCAATCTTGTTTCCTCAAAGCAGCTCTGCTGGTTCTTCACATCTTATTTCTTCACAAGGGCAATGAACTTAGAAGGTCGCTCTGGTTTTGGGAAGGGACGCTCAAATCCTGATGCAGGCGTTGACAAGAGCGGTGAATACTTCAACAAGTACAACTACAATAATGTCAGGAGATGGACTAAGCGGCAGCTCCCAAGTGGTACCAATCTGTTCCAAATTGATAAACTGGCCATTCCTGTCAATTTTGGGGGCGTCCATTGGATGCTTTGTGTTGTGTTCATCCAGAGGAAGGAAATCCATATATTTGATTCCCTCCTTTCTCACAAATACGACTCCTGCCTTGTGCGCAATGTTGTTTTCCAGTACATTCTTGACGAGTACCAATTGGTCCATGGCAAACCAATGGACAGAACAGAGATTGAACTTGGAGGTTTGCAGACAAAGTTTTAAATGCTCCACAACAGCGCAACACTCGGGATTGTGGTGTCTTCACTGTTCTTTTTGGCGAATATCTTGCTACAGGGCACCCTGTGGATAGACTTGGAAAAGAACTCAGGGATAGCGAGAAATACGAGGCTGTGGTTTCTCCGCCTAAGACTTGCAGCTATGGTTCTAAACAATCTAGATTTAGACTAGCTATAAATAATAGAACTTACTGCACAAGTGGCCTGTAGTAGTTCCAACAATCTAAAATGGCAAACATGTAGGATATTGAATCCCCACCAATTGGTACGTAGTCAGTGCTTTATTTGTGTGGCATATATCACATGTGTCCAGGTATTTTGGTTATATGATATATATCATACATACGTAATCATACTCATTGTTGCATTTGTGTGGTATATATCACACATGGCATAAGTTGTGTTTCTGTGATATATATCACACGTGGCCTATTATATTTGTCGTATGACATATATCATACTGAATATAGCCTCCAATTGGTACATAGTCAACGTTTTATTTGTGTGGCATATATCACACTTGGCCTATCATTTTGGTTATATGATATATATCATACGAAATGTGGCCTCAGATATTGCAATTGACAACAGTTCCAGCAGTAAATTCACTAGTTTTACCAATCTAAAATTGCAAACGTGTATAGCCCTGGAGCGCCACCACGCCCCAGTGTCTTCATGTGTTCCCTGCAAGAGAATCTCCAGGATACAAGCACTATCTTGTTCTCAATTTGATCAGTTCCTTTGTTTTCAAAAAAGTCGCGATGTAGTCCAACTGGGTGTGTCACCAGAGTGTGGTTCGCCTCCACTGCTTGTGTCCTCGAGATGTGCCACTAGGGTCTGCCGCAGCCCTAACGGAATCTGGAAAATTGATGCGGGAAGGAAGGTAAGTGCCAACCTTGTTTGTCGGACAATTATACATTCTTTCATTGACATGGAACAACGCTGGGGAGTCCTGGAGGTACGTTGAGGAAGATTGGGAACTTTTGTGTCTTGCGTCGTTACTCAGGGATGCTAATTGCTCAACTGGGAGAATATCGGCTGCTTCAAAGTGGCTTTGGAAGGATGTGGGGTGTGTATGTATTGCCCACCATGCAAGTAGATATGCTGTCTTCCTCAATGCATGGGTGCCTGCACACATTTCTGTTCCATCCTCTTGCAGTAAGTCGAGCTGAAGGACGTCTGTAAATAGGATCTCCATGTTGCTGAGGAAATGATAGTAGCTATAGGATTCAGTTGCATCTTCCCAGTTGATCTGTTCAAGTTTTGGGAAGAGATATCCACTCTTCCTGCCAGAGATGGCAAGGTATAGCAGCAGAGGCTGGACTGGAGACAATTCCGGGTACTCATCATCGTCCCACAGTAGGAAGTGGTTACAACGAGGGTCGGTTTTGCCTTTGATCTTGAGCATAAGGGCCACAACTTTCTTCTTTTTGATGAGAAAGTGCTTGACAACAAAAGAATCCACATGGAGTGAAAGCATTTCATCAATGCGCAGGAAGAGTTTGGATGCAAGGATCATTGCAGACCAAAGCATAAGCTGCTCAAGAGACCCAGATGAGAGGAGGGAAGTCCTGATATTCCTGAGTTGGAATGGAAGGAAGGCCACAGTTTGCCGATGTTTGTAGTTGTTCTCACAGTACTCCCGTAACACGTTAAGGGCATTCTTAAAAAGAACACTTTCGGAAGGATTGCCTCGCCTCCAATAGTGAGGATTACCTCCATGATCACTGCAGCCATGGCCTTTTTTCGAATCTTCTGCATCTATTTCATGGCATTGTTTGCATTGTTCCTGATACTTGTCGCAGGTTGTCTCATAACACCTGTGAAGTGTCCACAGCGCACTGTTCAAGTTGCCAACGGTGGATTCTGCAGTCCAGGTGCCAACAGCTTTGAGCTCTGTCTTGTTGGGGCCATACACAAAAGGAGTTGTTGAATCTGGATTGATAACACTTGTACCTGGAGGCAGTACACGGTATCTCATGTAGAGGATGCAAGTTTTGAGGGACACTGGTGGAGGTTTTGCAGGGCAATGTGACTGGTGGAGAATGATTCCAGACGTGTAGTCGCCAATAAGAATGCAAAAATCAAGCATTCCTTTCCAGACTGACCTGTAGCGGTCCAGTGTTGTGTCACCACATTTAACAGACCCCTGACCCGAGTCTCTACCTCCTAAAATGGGAAGAGGATTGGGTGAGGTGTGGCGTTCCTTGCAAAAAGCTTCTAGCCGAGAGGAAATTTGGGCAAGGCCCGCAATGCGTTCTTCTTCACTGATAATTTTGGCTCGTTTTGTAGTTGAGCTTTGGGATTTGGACTTGTTCCTTGTTAGAATAGAACCTAGTCCTTTTGGTGCCCTTGGTTTCTTTGGTGCCATCTCTCACGTGTGATGTTTGTCCCAAGTGCTTGTGGACCTTCGTGTGAGTGGTATCCT